TTTTGCCGTTTTTACTTTTTGTCTTTTGACCTTATGTCCATTTGACTTTTTGTCTTTTGACTTCTATGCTAGTTGACTTTTTGTTCATTGACTTTTTGGCAATTTAACTTTTTATCTTTTGACGTTTTATCCTTTTTGACTTTTTGACTTTTGACTTTCCTCTTTGTTGACCTTTTACCTGTTGACTTTTAAGATTTTTGACTTCTTGCTTTTGACGTAATGTCTGTTGACTCATCATCCTTTTACCTTTTATCATTTGACTTTTTGTCCGGAACCCCTTTTTTCTTTCCCAGTCACACCTAAATTGATCTTTCTAGACCAAACACGTGCTCGTATGACTAAATGAATGTCACCATCATAGGCGTCGCCAGAGATTTTCGGTTGGGGGGGAGGCAAAATCAACTTTTGTGTTAAATCTTGCCTTTCTCCAGTCGTTACTCATTCATTTTACATATCATTCGACGCGTATTGGTGCGAGGAATACGATGGTGACAAGGTTTTCCTTCTAGCTATGTCATGTCATTTTTTACAGAAAATTCAAAATTTTGAAATTTTTGGACAAAAACACTACCGGTAGAATCACAATGGCTGCGATTGCCGACGCACTCTAGAGAGCCCCCGTTCAGACGCTCGTCGCTCATGATCATCACCCAGAAAAAAAGGTTAAAAACGCTCAGTAGTCGAATCACCTTGCTGAAACCTTCATTCACGCATGCTGCATGCATGCAGTCGCAGAGGTTCTACGTGAAATGCATAGGGCTCATCCCAGCCGCCGATAGCTAAGTTGGGCTTTCGGCGGAGATTGAATGTCGGAAGTGTGGATCGGAAGTACCTAATTCATCTTTGCTTCAGTGAGAGGAGGTATTTTGTTGACACGGGAGTGTGAACAAAAAGCTTCTCGTTTTTCGTGTGTAGGGAAGCGCTGCAAATGCGAAGAAAAGATAACGGAACCAAAATTTCGCACGGCATAGCGGCAAGGGATCCCTTAGCGACAGGCTTGGGACTTCCAGGCCATTTTAGGCTACTCAGGGTCAGTGTGGGCTCTCAGAAGCCTGCTTAGGATCCTGAAGATCGGCGTTGGTCACCCCAAATGGTTACGTTATGTGGTGCTTTAGGGCTTTCCGACCCCAAAGTGGGGTCCTCAGAAGCCAGTGTGGGCGGCGGGCGCGCCGCTAAGAGACCTCAGACCAGGCCCAGGGTGAGCCGGGAGCCCTCAGACAGCAGTGTGAACCCTGGAGGTCTGTGTCGAATCCCTAAGGACCCTACATAGGGACGTAAGAAACATGTGCTGGGACCCTCAGAGGCACACGTGAGTTGTGCAAAATCTGTCGCCTCAAAAGCTCGGCTGAGCTATCAGAGGCCTAAGTTCTCAGAAATTTTCGAAAGTATTCTCAAAGATCCGTTTGGCCCTTCAGAGGTCTACGCATGTGTAAGGTCCTCAAAGATCCCTGTGTGGGCCCTCAGAGAATATGGACACCAATGGGACTCTCAGAGGCCGGTTTGGGCCCTCTGAAGGCTTCTTAGAGCTTAGAGCTCAGTGGAGCTCCTTCGGAGTCTGTGTGAAAAGCAAGCTCATGAGCCCTGTGGCACTTGAACGGTACTTGATTCTGTCGCAGACATTTGACAAGAGTTAAGAAGGCCCGAAGATTTAGTGTCACACTTTGAACGGAAATTTTGTGTCAGCACTTCAAAACTTATGAAAATCGGCTATAAAATGTAATAAAGAACCAGCTAGGAACATGGAATGAATCACAGTATTGACATTCCCGAGTCTGGAATCGGCGTCGTGAAGATTTTGGCGACTGCGACTCCGACTCTGGCCTGAACTGCACCCTTCAACCGAGTCTGACCTCACAGGCATTCTCAGAAAGGTACCCCTATTTTTTCTCGACTCCAAAATCTCATCGGATCTGTATCGATCTCAGGGGGTGCCCGGTCCGAGGTTCCTCGGACCATCGGATTCCTCGCACCATTGTGCGTCGAATGATATGTAAAACAAGTGAGTACCGACTGGGGAAAGGCAACAAGGGCCCATACAGGGATCTTTGAAGACCTTATATATACGTAGACCTCTGAAGGGCCACACGAGTCTTTGAGGATGCGTTCGAAAATTTCTGAGAACCTTAACGGAAAATTACTGATAGGTCAGCCGAACTTTTGAGGCGACAGAATTAACTAACCCCAAGCCGGCATCTGAGGGGTCACAACTCACGTGTCCCTCTGAGGGCCGCAACACATGTTTCTTATGTCCCTACGTAGGGTCATTGACTCCTTAGGGATTCGACACAGACCCCGAGGGCTTACACTATCCGAGGGCTCCAGTCTCCAGGCTCACCCTGGCCCTAGTTTCAGTCCTAGCGCCCGCCGCCCACACTGGCTTCTGAGGGCCCCACCTTGGGCTCGGAAAGCCCTAAAGCACCACATACACGTACGTACATATTTGGGGTAACCCACGCCGATCTCCGAGATCCTAAGCAGGCTTCTGAGAGTCGACACTGACCCTGAGTGGCCTGAAATGGCCTGGAAGTCCCAAGCCTATCTCTAAGGCAGGGGTCGGCAAATGGTGGGGCATGCCCCCTTTGGGGGTAATGGAGCCCTTTCGGTGGGGGTAATGAGGGATTCTGAGAAAGCCTATCTTTTTAGAGTTTGTAGCTCCAGTGATGTAGCCATCGTGACTGTTGCATCCCAGGGTTCAAAGATTAGCCCAGGCCAAAGGCACAGCACACTATTGATTAGATACCAATTTTCACGTACCTGCTCGCCTCACCATCTCACCCCTCCGTACAGTCGTTCAAAAGCAGCTGCAACTTTTAACCGTCGCCCGTCTGTTGGCGTTTCAACAGCTGCTAACGTAAGGGGGAGGAGTCGATCGGACCCCCACGGCCTCTCGGACTCTGATATGGAGCTGTGCATAAAAAAAGACGAGCGTGCTACCCGTGACCATAGGAAGCCGCTGCTGCCCATTTTTAAGGTCCTTGGTCATTCCGTCTCGTTCAAGAGGGCAATGATAAGTGTCGAGAAAATCGGGACCCGCTATAACTTCTTGAAGTGAGATTTTATGGCTCAAGATGATCTCCAGAAAAAGCTCATAAGCCAACGGTCATTATGGGTCCAGAGGCCAGTTTTACCAACAGAAAAATAGCCGCCTGCCGGAATTTTTGCCTAAAGATCGTTTCACATATGGAGCGTAAACGGTAAAGCCCTATCCGCTTACGAGCCCATCGCGTTTACGCTCCGTATGTGAAGCGGTCTTGAGGCAAAAATTCCGGCAGGCGGTTATTTTTCTGTTGGTAAAACTGGTCTCAGGTCATGATATTTTCCGGGCTGGTGAAAAAAAAATGATGGGCTCGAGGGTACAATTTGGTCGTGATCCAATGCCTTTTACGTGAGCTTTTAACGAAAAACCACCCGCCGCCCCTGTACGTACAAGGGTTAAATGGGATATAGCATAGGCGGCGGAACGGGGAGGGCACCGGGGCACCGTGCACCCTTTGATTTTTGCATTTTAACATTAGCCCTATGGGCGTTGCATGGAAAGAATGGGACCAAAAGTCGGCAGTGCTCCCCCCTCCCTCTTAATTGAAGGTGATCCGCCGCTACTGGGATATAGGGATTAAATGTTTTGTGGAGGAAGTGTCATGTTTTAAATTTGATGCATTGGAAATGCACAAATACCCAAAGAGTTCCAGGACGGTATGGAATTTCAGTAAACATAGTTGTGTCAGCAATGGGGTCTGGTAGGTGGGGGTAATGGCCCTGCCTGGCGCCCAAAAAGGGGGCACGACCCCGAATGACCTGCCGACCACTGCTCTAAGGGATCCCTTGCCGCTATGCCGTGCGTAACTTTTGGTTCTGCTAAGCATTTTTTGATCACATTTGCAACGCTTCCCTTCACACGAAAAACGAGAAACTCTTTGTTCACACTCGAGTGAACAAAACACTTCCTCTCACTGGAGCAAAGATGAATTACTTCCGATTCACACTTCCGACATTCACTCTCCGCCGAATGCCCAACTTAGCTACGATCGGCGGGTGGGATAAGCCCTATGCATTTCACGTAAAACCTCTGCATGCATGCGTGAATGGAGGTCTTAGCAGGGTGATCCGATTAAATGGAGCATTTTTTTCACATTTTTCTGGGTGATTGATCATCAGCGGCGAGCGTCTGCACACGGGCCCTCTGCAGTGCGTCGGCAATGGCAGCCACTGAAATTTTACCGGTCGTTTTTGTCCAGAAATTTCAAAATTTTCGAATTTTTAACAATTATATCATAGCTAAAAGGAAACCTTTGTCACCATCGGATTCCTCGCACCATTGTGCGTCGAATGATATGTAAAACAAGTGAGTACCGACTGGGGAAAGGCAAGATTTAACACAAAAGTTAGTTTTGATCCCCCTTCCGAACCGAAAGTCTCTGGCGACTCCTATGGATTTGTGCGATTCTGCTGTTAATAGTTAGAACTTTCCGTAATGTTTGTTCACCCAATGCCTCATTAAAACTGCGGTTTTTATGTAAAGATTTTATGCATTTACAAAACCCAACACGTTCCTAAACACATGACCACTAAATTTCAATTATTCAAGGACTTCAGAGTTCACAAGTTCAGCCTGAATCCTATGACTATTAACTATAAAGCAGGAATGCCCACATTTGGGGAAGCAGACAGTCTGTAAAATCATTCAGAAAGATGCATGCAACATACCTATGATCTCTTCAAAACTTGCATAGGTAAAAAAGAACTTTGTCTAAGATATACCATTCACCTGTAGTGTGCTTTGTTGCGAACCATACACAAGGTCATTAAAAACTATTGGCCTGGATAACCACATTAAACAACTAACAAGTAACAGCTCCTAACACTACTGATCATAATTGGAAAAGTGTTACCGATCAAACCGTGTTATAATACATATAACAGGATGTTCCCTAAACTTGCTTTGCATTTGTTGGGCAATTTTTAAGTCCTGTCCAGCTGTAAGTGTACGTACTGTTCGAGGCATAGACAATTACAAATATTTATTGGTGTCATAAGCGAATCCTATCCAACACGGCATTCAGAAGTAACATCATTTCATTGCACGTGCAATATTCATATTATCAACAGTTTATAGCGCTGATGGTAAAAAGTTATAAATGCAAAATACAAGGTCACCACCAATCAAGCAGCACGCTTGACATCGACAAACACAAACTCATCGGGCGCCCGAACGTTGATCAGCGTTCAACGGAGAAACAACTCTGGTTCGCGGTAGGTAACACGCCTGGCAGTTGCTGTTACCGATGCCAGCAGCAACTAGCGCTTCTAGCGCTTTCGGTTTTCATGGAAGAATAAAAACTTCATTGTGCTTGTCCTGGTTTGTTAACGGTTCCATGTTTGGCCTGGTTTGTTGACGGTTTCATAGAAACAGAAAAGGCTAGTAGCGCGCCGTGAAACAAGGCCCAGATTGAGCGCCATTATGAAGCTGTATACCGTATACATAGATGTCGCTGTAAGAGCCGTCTGACCTATATAGGTGTCTCTCTAGTAGCCATCGGACCTGTATAGATGTCGTTAAAGACCTATTGTTTATTAGGTCTTTAGGGCGCGTTGACTTCGGTGGTGATTTGCAAAAGCCGTCGGACCAGTGAGACGTCGCTTCAGAAGCCGCCGAAGCTGTAAAGATGTCACTCTAGTAGCCGTTGGAGCTGTTGGCGGCTTCATCTAGTGCGGCTGCGATCAAAGCACACGATCACTGCGGCAACCTTAGAGCCACATGTGCAGACTTCTGGCCACGTGGGGCCCCAGGTCGATCGAGTTGTCCAGCCCCGGTGGCGACAGGCGGCCCTGGGGAACAGACCAGCGCCGGTTTCAGCTGGATGCAAAGCGAACACTGCAACCCAGCACTGCGGAACACTGGAGGCTCTGCGTAGGATAAAGGACCCCAAAGCAGAGTACTGAGCCGTCATACCGAGGGTCCGAGTATACCGAGGGTCAATGCAGTGCTGTCGTGCGAGACTGAGGTGGGGTGAAAATTGAAGGATTGAGGAGGCCGGGTACCGGACACAGACCAGATATATAACTTGCGAAAAATCACTCGTGTGGTTATTAGTTAAAATTCTGTCATGCATCTCAAGGTACCGATGTGTCACACATGCAAGAGTGTACCAAGATAGCAATGACAGCGTGAGTTTAAACATTATATGGCAGCGACAAATGGCAGGAAGATGCCTGTTTGGTTGAAAGAAAGTGCACAGAAGAAATATCAAACACGAACAGTCGTTGCCTAGTTAAGTACGAGCGTACGGGTAAAAGAGAAGTTACCAAGGTACGAAATAAAGTTATTGCTGTAAAAAAAAAAACTTCAGTGTTTCAGAAGCATCACGCTGAGGATTAAACATTCACCGTAACGTTACGCTGCCAGCACTGATGTTCGACCTCGAGTTGGGCGCGGTGTTAGTTACCCAGTTAGACGGGTCAACGGGTCAGTGCCAGACGCCATTCAGCTGATCCTCCTCCGACCGGAGCCGCGGCTGGAACGCCAGTCACGTGACGGTTAGCACAGCTCCTAGCCGAGCTATGCGACAGTTAAGGCAGCTGCGTGGTAAACCACGTGACAAAGCAGTCATTGGGCTAGTCACGCAACGGTTACAGTCTTCAAGCGAGACGCAGACACCTCAATTGCAACACATCAATCATGTGAGTCAGAGCAGCTCTGGGTAGACAGGTGACGGTTAAAACAGCCCTAACATGAAACGCAACAGCCCTAACGCATGCCTACCGGCTCACTGATGTTAGTTGTCGGACTTTCGTCCCCGTCTTGAGTTGAGATGTTAGTTTCACAACGTTTCGGCCAGTTACTTCTCCGGCCGTCGTCAGGTGTTCTTTGGCCCTTAGAAGGACCTGGATGTTGGTGGCGTTGCGCCGTACGCGTCATACCGTTCGAAAGCTCCTGTAGTCAGCGGGAATCGAACTCGGGTTTCCCCGGTGATAGTCCACGGTTCTAACCACTCCACTATCGTGTCTGCCTCGATAGTGGAGTGGTTAGAACCGTGGACTATCACCGGGGAAACCCGAGTTCGATTCCCGCTGACTACAGGAGCTTTCGAACGGTATGACGCGTACGGCGCAACGCCACCAACATCCAGGTCCTTCTAAGGGCCAAAGAACACCTGACGACGGCCGGAGAAGTAACTGGCCGAAACGTTGTGAAACTAAACATCTCAACTCAAGACGGGGACGAAAGTCCGACAACTAACATCAGTGATACTAACACCTCGTCTCAAGCATTCAGAAGCCTACCGGCTCGTTTACTGTATGTCTGGCCAATTCAAATATATTAGCCGGAGAGTTGTAGTGTAAACTGGAGTAAGCAAGGTGACCACGGTAAAAAAAAAGTTTGCATTTAAGTCAACATTTTCGGATGGTCTCGTTCAAAAGTCGGCTAAAAGCTAAAAGCTTAGTTCTAGAAAATGAATCTATAATTGACATAACATAAAATACATACCAAACTCGGCCGGTGATAAAATCTTAAAACCCCACTCCTTACTATTTTTTTAACTCGATCTTAGACCTCTTTCAAAAATCCAGTAAGGACCTCGGTCTTGAAAATATATTAACACCGGCCTCGTTCAGTGTTATATGTTACCGCACTTTGCCCCTATCTTACCAGGATGCGGTGTTTTTCTGCGCAGGCGAACTCAGTCTCGTCGACGTCTCCATAGCAGTCCGACTGGTGACCGGGCGGCAGAGGTCGGCCCTTGAACTCGCAGAGTTTGCTCAGCGGCCGAGACTTGACCAGCATGTCGTCGAAGGACTTGGGCTTGTGCACCGGACAGTAGAAGACGTCTGGCGTCCGCGGGTTGAACACGATCGACTTCCGCAGCATGTCACCGCCCAGAGCAGAGCCGATCTGGGGGGACGGGGTGGGGTCGGAAGTCAAAATGGGTGCCCCGGGTCATAAAAAACGCCTGAGGGACAAGGCAAGCAAGGTATGAACGTTCCCAGAGGGGTGACATGTCACGAGTCACGGTTGGTCGCAGGTCAAAATGAAGGCATTTGATTATGCAGGTGTTACATTTTGTTTTGGACAGAAACTTTGGCCGTGAGTCTCCTAAAAAGTACATAGCTGGATACGTCAGTTCCCATTAAATGTCTACGCTTATACATACTCCGAAGTGGAATGTACGTACCTACTTCAACAATAAAAAAAGTTTTCAATTATTACACTGCATATGATATGAATAAACACGGAAATAAGTTTTTAAAAACGGAAATTAAATGCTCAATGCTCATCCATTTTACTCACCAGTAACAACAGGCATGTGATGGATCCAAGGTTCCCTGTGAAAGGACAATGGTTGTAAGGGTCTAACATGCCACGAGTTTTGAAACGATTAAGGAACCATGCACCTTTCCGCTACTTATACAGTAGGTGTACCAGGCGTGCACCGTGAGCAGCGTCACCGGGAATGTGGCGTCAGCTGATTGATGCGTTTGCTGCTTTTGAACAATTGCGTACGGTACATATCGTTCACATTTGAAATTAATTAATGTGTCAAATTATATTATTTTATATTGACACTGTATATTATTATAATGTGTCAAACTATTATTATTACAATGTGTTATTCAATGTATAATCAAGTCATTATTAAAAGTCTCATATTATAATTTGAGTCTTGGCGAGTAAATAGAAATAGCATATGATCCTCGTAGTAAAGCATACACGTATTTGTGAGAAAATGGATAGAATCAAATATAGCAGCGATTCCCTTTCCTGGTTGGCATCGCTTTTTATTTTACATACGCAACCATATATCCCTGATGCCGAATATCAGGCGCCGCCGCGCCGGGCATGGACACACACTTGAGATCGGCACGGACTCAGCCATTGTCAGCCCAGCTTGATGCAAAACTGCTTCTGTAAATAAAATAACACTGAAGTGGTGCTGGTTGTCCAGCCATTATATCCAGCGCAAATGAAGGCCGAGGGTCGCGCCTTCGTTTTTTAAAGTTATAAGTTCTCTAAGCTATACGACATCCCGGCGTACCACGTCGTCGTGGGCGGTGTTTCACGGCCGCTGCTAGCACACTGCCACCACACGCAGAGAAATCGGTTTCCACAGACCGACAAACTCGGACGCTCCAATATTGAATGGCGTTAGTTAGCTGGTCTCCAAAGTCAATGCAGTGATTTGACATCGACGTGACCCGTGAACCTACGTGCGGAAAATGTACCAAAAATCCGTCTCGACCATCCGTTCGGAAGCTGGATGAAGAGCCAAAAATCTGCATCCCTCCCAGCGATTCGTATATTCGTCCCCATACTTCAAGAAGTCCGGTTTAAAAAATATGCCAACAAAACGCACATTAACGGATTTAAAACGGAAACAAGCTTCACCACTCACACGCAAAACTGAGGCGAAACTTGAGCTGTCATTCAATTGTATAAATGATGTGAATTTACCACGAGCACAGCGCAGAACCAACATGCTCGGTCCGAACTCAGCTTTGCAGATACCAGCTCTCACCGCGCCGAATAGTCTCACAAACGGCAAAAACAGGTCTGATGCGTGAAATTCATGGCATTCTAATCGTTATATCAGTAATATCGCAGTAGGGGAAGCACACAGGTCGTGTTAAATATACAGAAAAGTCCGCCAAACAATTACATCCATCATGATAACGAATGTCAGTTAAAACTCACCGGAACTATCGTTCTCATACATACGGCCACGGGAGAGGGGGATGAACGTCACAATGACCAATTGCACAGCAAATGAATCGTAGCGAATGAATCGTACAATTATCACAGTTATAATTTGATCATAACGAACTTAACCTAGCACCGGTGTAATTCCTCCCCGCCTCCCGCTCTTGTCTATCATCTGATCATCCTCACAACTATCTCATTCAAATCACCCCGACCCGCACCATATTTCCACCGAAGGGTTCACTCTATGCAAAACTGTCAATCCCGTGACAGACGGTGCCGCGCCGAATGTCCTTAGCACCACCATGCCTCCGTTAAACTTTGGGTGACAAGCCACTATTCGCGCCAGCGCCGGTCGGGACGCCTCGGTGGCTCGGCGCCGCATCGCCTCCGCATGGGCAAGACTCGGTAGGAAGCGCATCATGAGGTCTCCGTCACCCGGGTGGCGGACGAGCCGCCTACCGCGCAATCCACGCAAATGCTTCGCTATCTTCGTTCACAGGACGCCGTCAGACTGTCGCCCACGAGTCTGGAAGGGAACAGAACGGACGGTCAGACGATCTAAAGGCCGCCCCACACTGGACCTCGCATGCCGGTTGCGAGTTTTTGGGTTTTCGGGTTTCTTCAAAATCAAATAGGTAATACAATCTAAGCTGAGTCACCCACACTACCATCTAACAGGCGAGTCTGCATGTTTTTAGCTTGCGAGCGACCTTGCATCGCATTCCAAAAGTTGGTTTTGAGTCAACTTTCGAATTTCCTCGCTGCGAGGTGTGCGAGTTCTGCGAGGTTTGCGGATTTTTCGTTAGAGTCTAATTTTGGTTCGTTGCGCTGGTATTGCGACTATATGTAAGTTTCTGAAGGTGCACCAGCATCACTGCATCATGAAGTTACCATAAGGAAGCGATCTAATCACTCTATGAATTAGTATTATGCCCGCAAACTCAAAACCCGCAAACTCGCAACCCGCATGCGAGTTCCAGTGTGGGGCGGCCTTAAGGCGTAGATGTAGGTAACGTATCCTACACTGTTAGTGTAGGATACGTTATTGATGACTAAAAAAATCGTCAAAATTTAGCACTAACATTTTAACTGTGCAAAGGAACGTTATTTCATTAATAGACAACTAGAGGTACAGGTTTACGCGATAACTGTATGTTTTGAGTTATGTTATGTTACGGGTACATTCGTTTGGGTGATTGACTTGCATTTTTAACTGTATTATTTGGGTAGATTTGGGTAGCTGTTTTTAATTGAACTGTAAGGGATGGTGATAGTTGCGGAGTGTTCAAGTGTTTTGTATGTTGGGCCGTTTTTGAACACAACCCTACCCCTACCCTACCCCTACCCTACTACCCTACCCTACTATCCTACCCTACCCTACTACCCTACCTTACCCTACCCTACTACCCTACCCTACCCTACCCTACCCTATCCTACCCTACCCTAGTCCCTACCCTACCCTACCCTACCCTACCCTATCCTACCCTACCCTTACACTACCCTACCCTACCCTACCCCTACACTACCCTACCCTACTCCTACACTACCCTACCCTACCCTACCATACCCTACCCCTTCCCCTACCCTACCCTACCTACCCTACCCTACCCTACCCTACCATACCTAACTCTACCCTACCTAACTCTACCCTACCCTACCATACCCTACCCTAGTCCCTACCCTACCCTACCCTACCCTACCCTACACTACCCTAACCTACCCTACCCTACCCTACACTACCCTACACTACCCTAACCTACCCTACTCTACCCTACCCTACCCTAGCCTACCCTACACTACCCTACACTACCCTAACCTACCCTACTCTACCCTACCCTACCCTAGCCTACCCTAACCTACCCTAACCTACCCTACCCTACCCTACCATACCCTACCCTACCCCTACATTACCCTACCCTACCCCTACACTACCCTACCCTACCCTACCCTACCCTACACTACACTACCCTACACTACCACCGACAGTCCAAGTTTCAGCTAAATCGGCCCAGAAACGGCTGAGATATTGCAAAAAAAAATTTATCGTATTTACTGGCGAATCCCCTTCGCGAGGAGTGCCTTGTGTCGGCCTTCGTTGTCAAAGGTCAACGACCTCCCGGCTCTGATGCTTTTCACTCAGTTTTCTAAGCGAACAACTGAGCCTAAGGCACGTGCCTTCTGCTCGGCGCCGGTCGCGGCCGCACCACGTGCACACCGCTGAACCCACACCCTCGAAAATTTTATACGACAATTGAGTGCACGCGTCCGACTTACAGCGAAAATTTCACCCCGGTAGCCCTTACCGTTCCCGAGCAATAGCCTGTTGCCGATTCTAGTGTAAACCCTATGGCACACCACATGAGCACGCGCTACGCGGCGCACCCCCGCCCGCATCGTGCCCAAAATTTGATACGACCTGTTGAATGACGTGACCCACAAGCCGTGAAAATTTCACCCTCCTGCATGAATTGACGGCTTTGCAATGAGCGTTTTTGGGCGTAACCCCGACGGCGGACTTTTTAGGATTTATAATATAGACTAGAGGTACAGGTTTACGCGATAACTGTATGTTTTGATATGTATGATTAACGGATGCATTAGTTTGGGTGTAGAAACTTGCATTTTTATTGGTATGATTTTTGTAGAACTGGGTAACTGCTTTTAATTGAACTGTAAAGTATGATGGTGATGCATGCGAGTTGTTCGTGCCCTTTGTAAGTTAAGATGATACTGAACGCAACCCTACCCTACCCTACCCTACCCTACCCTACCCTACCCCTACACTACCCTACCCTACCATACCCTACCGTACCCTACCCCTACACTACACTACCCTACCCTGCCCTACCTTACCACTACCCTACCCTACCCTACCTACCCTACCCTACCCTACCCTTACCCTACCCTACCCTACCCTACCCTACCCTACCTTACCCTTACACTACCCTACCCTACCATACCCTACCCTTACACTACCCTACACTACCCTACCCTACCCTACCCTACCCTACTCCTACACTACCCTACCCTACCCTACCATACCCTTACACTACCCTACCCTTCCCTACCCTACCCTACCCTACCCTTACTACCCTACCCTACCCTACCTTACCCTACCCTACCCTACCCTACCTAACTCTACCCTACCTAACTCTACCCTACCCTACCCTACCCTACCCTACCCTACCCTACAATCCCCTACCCAACCCTACCCTACAATCCCCTACCCTACCCTACAATACCCTACAATTCCCTACCCAACCCTACCCTACAATCCCCTACCCTACCCTACCCTACCCTACCCTACCCTACCCTACACTACACTACCACCGACAGTCCAAGTTTCAGCTAAATCGGCCCAGAAACGGCTGAGATATTGCAAAAACAAATTAATTGTATTTATACTGGCGAATCCCCTTGGCGAGCGGTGCCTTGTGTCGGTGTTAGAGTGAGTTTGCGAAATCGGTGGATCCGCGGAGTCCCTAGGGAATCCACGGAGTCCCTAGTGGCTCCGCGGATGAACATCAAGTCTAGTATATTCGCGGATAAACGGGCGGAGATCCGCGGATGAACAAGACTCTTCAGGATAACCGCGAACTCCCTGAAGAGTTGACGAGATCCGCGA